GGATTGTTTCTTTGGTGTTGAGTTTAAGAAGTTCTTTATAGATTTTGGAAACTAGCCCTTTATCTGATATGTTATTTGCAAATATCTTCTCCCATTCTGTAGGTTGTCTTTTAGTTTTGTTGACTGTATCCTTTGCTGTGCAAAAGCTTCTTATCTTGTGAAGTCCCAATAGTTCATTTTTGCTTTTGTTTCTTTTGCCTTCGTGGATGTATCTTGCAAGAAGTTACTGTGGCCAAGTTCAAAAAGGGTGTTGCCTGTGTTCTTCTCTAGGATTTGGATGGAATCTTGTCTCATATTTAGATCTTTCATCCATTTTGAGTTTATCTTTGTGTATGGTGCAAGAGAGTGGTCTAGTTTCATTCTTCTGCATGTGGATGTCCAATTTTCCCAGCACCATTTATTGAAGAGACTGTTTTTCTTCCAATGGATAGTCTTTCCTCCTTTATCGAATATTAGTTGACCATAAAGTTGAGGGTCCACTTCTGGGTTCTCTATTCTGTTCCATTGATCTATGTGTCTGTTTTTGTGCCAGTACCACACTGTCTTGATGACCACAGCTTTGTAATACAACCTGAAATCTGGCATTGTGATGCCCCCAGCTATGGTTTTCTTTTTTAAAATTCCCCTGGCTATTCGGGGTCTTTTCTGATTCCACACAAATCTTAAAATAATTTGTTCTAAGTCTCTGAAGAAAGCCCATGGTATTTTGATAGGGATTGCATTAAACGTGTAAATTGCCCTGGGTAACATTGACATTTTCACAATATTAATTCTGCCAATCCATGAGCATGGAATATTTTTCCATCTCTTTGTGTCTTCCTCAATTTCTTTCAGAAGTGTTCTATAGTTTTTAGGGTATAGATCCTTTACTTTTTGGTTAGGTTTATTCCTAGGTATCTTATGCTTTTGGGTGCAATTGTAAATGGGGTTGACTCCTTAATTTCTCTTTCTTCAGTCTCATTGTTAGTGTAAGAATTTCCATTTTTAATGAGTTTCTGTAAATGTTGTTGCTGCTTGTCCAGTGCTATAGACTGAATGTTTGTGTCCTCCCAAAATTCATATGTTGAAATCCTAACCTCCAAGGTGATGGTATCAGGGGGTGGGGGCCTTTGAAAGGTGATTAGGTCTTGAGAACAGCACCTTTGTGAATGAGATTAGCACCCTTATAAAAGAGACCCCAGAGAGCTCTCTTCCCCCTCCCACCATGCAAGGACATAGTGGATGGACTACCAGGAAGCAGGTTTTCACCAGAGACTGTGGCCACCCTGATCTTGGACTTCCCAAAGTATGAGAAGTACATTTTTGTTATTTATAAGCTACGTGGCCTATGGTATTCTGTTATAGCAGCCTGAATTTATCAAGACACCCAGGGTCTGCACTTTCAGAACTGCTAATTATTAACGTAGGCATTTCCTCCACTTTTAAGTAAGAAAATTGAGAATCAGAGGTTAAGTAACAAAGCTAGCAAATCGTAGAGGCAGGTTTAACCACAAATTTGTTTTTTTTTTTAAATTTTTATTTATTTATGATAGTCACAGAGAGAGAGAGAGAGGCAGAGACACAGGCAGAGGGAGAAGCAGGCTCCATGCACCGGGAGCCCGACGTGGGATTTGATCCCGGGACTCCAGGATCGCGCCCTGGGCCAAAGGCAGGCGCTAAACCGCTGCGCCACCCAGGGATCCCCCACAAATTTGCTTAATCCAAAAGTCTGTCCTTTTTAGTCTATGTTTTACTTGTCCCTTACGTGTGATCCTATTGTTCAGCCACAAAGTATGTTAGTTATTTTGTCAGGGTCATTCATTCAGGGTGCTGCATAATTGGGAACTGGTCACAGGGAGTCTTCACAAGATGGCATATAACTGAGGGGATCAGGGTCTGGCGCTTTGGGCTCCAAATTCAGAAACAGATTTTGTTGTTTCTGAGTTGGCTGGACTTATATGAAAAAAGTTCTCAACAGGCTGATGTATAAAGTCATAATGCCAGCTTAATAATTTATTATGAGAAAAATAATTGCCACAGGACCAGAAATTCCTGGTTGGCATGAGAGTATGCTCTCCCTGGAGACATGTTATGTGTAAGAGAAACCAAATTATCAGAAGGCTGCTTGGTGACCATGGAAGTAAGGCTAGGAGACTTAATATGACTCAAACACTTCATGTCATCAGCTCTGTTGGCATGCCCCAGTGCGTACGTTACCAGAAAAGAGACAACGCATCAGGTGCATTAGTATATAAATTGGACTGACCAAGTACTTCACTGTCCCCTGGATGGTGCCCAAATGAACCCACTGCTTTTGGCTGTTGGGAGTCCCTTCTCCCCCTATGTTTCTAAGGCTGATTTGCCTTCTTTCAGACTCAGTGTGTTGGAAGTGTCTAAACAGTTTCAGTCTGATGAAAACCAAGACTGGTAGGTCTGAGAATGCTATGGTCTGAATGTTTGTATCCTCTCCAAATTCATAGGTGGAGCTCTCATGAGGGGGCTTGGGGCCCTTATAGAAAAGGTCCCAGAGAGTTCTCTTGTCCCTTCTGCCATGTGAAATCACAGGAGAAGACAGCTGTCTATGACGAAGTGAGCCCTTACCAGACATTGAACTGCTGGCACCTTGATCTTAGACTTCCCAACCTCCAGAACTGTGAGAAAGAAATTTCTCTTGTGTGCAAGATACCCAATTTGTGGCATTTTTGTTATAGTAGCCCAATAAGATTACGATAAAGAGCGATTTTTCTTTTTAAGTTGACTTTACATATGTCTACCTTGATGTATTTTTAAATTTATAATTATAGTTTAGCTCTTAGGGATCAATCTTATTTTTATCTACAATTACTTGATTCTTGGATTGTCTGAGTAAATTTATGCAAACATTAGTTTTCTTGGCTTTATGGATGTGAGCCCCAAAGTTCAGAGAAAGGGTAGAGAAAGGATTATTGTCATCATTATGCTTTGGTCAGCTTGGCAAGAGGAGTAACATACCTAAAGCCCTGCTTGACACATAATAAGAACTATATAAGTGTCTATTAAATAAAAGAACTACATGGACTCATTAAGTCAAAGGAACAATTTTTTTCAATGGTTTAGGGAGAAGCTGGGGAGTTTGGGGTAGGTTTTGGTGACTTTTTGGAGCCGGTTTCCTGACAGTATTTCCATGATTTCAACTTCTCCACTTAAGGCTGGCTTGCTAGTAAGCACTTGGTAGTTTTTTTTTTTTTTAATATTTTATTTATTTATTTTAGAGAGAGTGAGAGTGAGAGAGCACATGAGCAGCATGGAGAGGGACAGAAGGAGAGGGAGAGAGAGAATTTCAAGCAGACTCTGCGCTGAGTACAGAGCCCCACATGGGGGTCAATCTCACGACCTTGAGATCATGACCAGAGCCCAAATCAAGAATCAGACGTTTAAACAACTAGGCCACCCAGGGGTCCTGACCACTTGGTAGTTAATGCCTGCCTTGGAAGGCCATTTTCCCAGGGTGTTCCTCAGAAGCACCTCTATAGGTAACAGAATCCACCAACATCATTGATATAGTGTTACACAGTGTTTCTATCAATTGCCTCTAGTTGATGATAGTTAAGAATTGCAGATATTCCTTCACAGAAGGTAGTTTCTTGGTTAGATATGGATCAATGCATACATTTGTCTGCAGGCCACATTTTTCTTTTTCTTCTAGGGATACTTAAAAACATACCTCTTCCAGGGAGAGGACACTAACCAATAAACATGCAACAGCTTCACTAATGCTCTTGCAATCTATGCAGAAAGTAGGTAGCACCTTGTCAACTCTCATTTGGGGGAACTTCTAGAGCTTGACTTTCAGGGCATTCCAGTTTTGAATTTCTTTCATTTGTTATCCCTCCATTTATGCCTGTGACTGCATTTTTTTCATATCCAGGCAGATGGTGTGTAAACACTCAAGAATTTTACACTCACAGTTTGCTTTGTGTGCTGGTAGGGCATCTCTTCAGTGTATAGATTTTCTTATTTCTGCTTATGGTGTAACTGCAAGATTTTCATCAACCCAAATGGAGGAATTTGAGTATATGCTACCTGTGTCTGCCCGGAAGTGATAGTTCCCAGCACTATTTCTTGCAGTTTGATATGTATTTCTCTTCTTTTTTTCAACCAAATCCTGCAATATTTGCTATAGATATTTCATCAAAGGGGAATAGATATTTAAGATCTGAGTGTGTGAAGAATGAGCTTATGCCAAATTATGCTCAAGATCTTTAGGTGATAATGTGTTCTGAGTAATGAAAGAGAGAGGTTTTTGCAATAGAGAATAATAAGGCTGTGTGGTTTTAGGTATAGTTTTTTTGGATATGAAGATTTGACTGGGACCCAGGTCCAAACTGGTCAACCTACTGATGGAACAGATTTGAAATTCTACAATTTAGTTGTTTTTCACAAATGCGAACAGTTAACTTTGAACAATCCTTGCTCTTGTCAATCCTTTTAAAGACAGATCTTTCTTAAATATTCCTTATTTACCTAGTATTGTGTTTGCCTCTGTGAGGGATACGAGATATGTAAGACATGGCTCTTATCCCGAAGAAGCTTAAAAAATCCAGATAAAGAAACAAAAGTAACATGTGTGGACAAATTTAACACAAAACTATGTGCTAGAGGAAAAGAAAATTTTCCCCTCTTTGGCTTCTTCAAGGAGAAATTTTCTTGAACAGATGCCTGACTTTTCTCTCCCTTTTATTCACTCCGCCCCCAATGAAGGGGAGAAGTGGCCCATGTGAGTGGTGAAATGTGCTCTAGACACTTCCATCCTTCTCCTCTTGGGAGCTCGTTTGTCCATGTGGGACATGAGCTTTCCTCCGTGCTTCTCTTCCAACATGTATGTTTCTCCTGGACAGGTATCCATCCCTTGCCCTGGTCCAGGGCTGCCTAATATTGGGAGCAAGTCTGCCTCAATAAATCTAGGGGTTAGTCTAACAAAACCGCTTGGTAACTAGGCTGATATTTTGGTTCCCATGTTTATACTCTGTTTTAATTCTCAGTTTTTACAGAAACCTGGTTAGGGAGAGACCGGAACACAATATAGGATACTGAAGCTAACATCCACGGTATTTCAGTGTGAGCTGTGAGTGGATGGGAAAGACCTCGGGAAGACTCGCTGAGGTTGGATCTTGAAGGATGAGTAGGACTTAGAAAATAGAAAGAAGGTAAGGCTGTCATTTACAATCTCTTTAACTTTCAGACTAACGTGATGGGGAGAAATAACAATGAGTTTCCTCTTGCAGGTGACCTCACAGGCCCAGAAGAGGATTTGTATGAATAAATCAGAGGAAAAGAAACTGAGGGTTGAATTCTAGATTTTTGTAATTTCCTATGTTTGTGGATTGAAGCAAGTATATGTTCATGACTGGGATAAATGCAAAATATTCTCTAAAGTGGTGCATTTGCCCAAATCCACTAATCAAACTCCTCCAAGCCCTGGGAGAAATGGATCAGCCTGTCAGAAGAGTCTGATGCCTCAAATACTACCAGTGGAGGGCAGGAGGGGTAGGGGGCCGCTTCCTAGAACCACTCAGCATCTTCAGTGCTTCCCACTTCTTCAGGTCTTCAGGATGGACATTGGGAATGTCGACATGGGGCACAGTCTTCTGAAGATATGTCTGAAAGGGGCTGCTTTGCATCCTTGAGTGACTGTAGGCAGTTCAAGTGAGTGCTCTGGACCTTTTCTTCCTGGGTCAGTCACTGGGCTAAGTGCGTGCTTGGAAGCTGCCAGGTTCTGGACGGAGCTTTTGTTAGAAAAATCTGTGTTAACCAACAAGTTCCTGGAATTCTATAAAACCTTGTGGATTTGAACACAAACAAATAGAAAATGTCTATTATCTCCAAATTAGCCCTCCTGCTGCGTTTTCAAATGGATCTGAAATCCCCATTTACATGCTGCAATGGTAAAAAGCCTCTCAAAGGTTATTTGAAATCTGAGCTGATTGCAAACGGATTGATTTCCAGCAAATGTGGCAAAATGACCAAGAGGGATTCAGGACAGCATCTTACATACTGTGATGTTCAATGCAAGGTCTTGGACTCGAGATGAGAATAAGGATTCCTTTGCAGGTCGCAAACATCCTGTGCTTCTCTGCCTCCCCCACCTCCTCCTTGCCCCACATCTCCCCATGCTCCATGCCCAAACAAATTACCAGATGTTAGAAGAGGAAAGTTGGAGTCCTGCTGGGTTTATTTTGCTTTATTTGTTCTGGATTTAGATTTAAAACCTTCCAGTGGATGAACTGTATCGAGGGCTTTTCATTTCATATTGCGAAATGTGTTGTTATGCACAGTTCATTCTATTAAAAAACAAAACATGTAAACCTAAATTAAAATGCATAGCGTGGATCCCTCAGAGGGGGCTTCTGAAACAAGCCGGGCATGAAATGTTGCATAGATTTCTTGTTAACCAGAAAATTATTTTAGCAAGCGACCCTTCCTGAGGTGTCAGGAAGGAGCAGGGGGTGTCGTGAGCCTTCAAAGCTGTGTGCTGGGTGCTCGATATTACGTACATTTATCTCGGCTGCCAGGAACTCTACGTTGCCATCTGTCTTAAGCTTTGCCAGAAGCTACCTGTGGTTTAAAAGGACGGAAAGGTCTGGACAACAAGGGCGCTTAGGGAAATAATGTGGAAATAAAATATTCGTCATTTTGTCGTTCACTTTCCTCCTGACACAACCATGGGAGGCATTTACCCCTCTTTCTCAGGTTTCATGCTGTGAGGATGCTTGTGTGATGATTTTTTAAAAACACAAAACTAACTTCCTACGGTGGACACAGTCATAACCTGGTGTCTAGAAATATGGTTATGGGGCCCTTCTATCAGGGCTGTTTGCTAGTGCACCGGATGGAACAAGCAACTGCTGGGTGAGGAGCCCTCTGCGGGAGGAGGCCCCAGTGGTTTACCTGTCATAGGTTCCTCTATAGGCAAAGGCAGTAAGAGAACCAAGACAGCCATCAGTAGTTAGAGCGAACCCTCTTTCAGGCTACATTTCCAGAAACTGTTTCAATGTGTGGCATTAATACTAATATCTGCCCTTTCTGTTTTCTGCAGTTGCATTCTAAAGAAACAGCTTTGGGAATTAGATTTAAAATTGTGGCTCTTGGTGAGCTGTGGAACTCTAACTAAGGCCCTACCTAAGTAAGGGGAAACAGAAATTGTCAGGGTGAATGAAAATGTCACAGTAAATATGTGGTGTTTTAATTTCACCCTTAGCAATATATTCCGAATCCATGCAATATAATCAAAAAAAAAAAAAAAAAAAAAAAAAGAAGCAGTGAGTCTAAATAGTAATTGGCCAGCGGTTCTGAAAGGTCAAGCATGGGCCAGCTACTTCATTATCTGCTCTGTGACCTTGGCCAACTTAACTACAGTTTCCTGATCTCTAAATTGAAGAGTGATGAGGATCTTGTGTCATAACACACATGCTCCACTTTGGGAGGGTCAGTGTGTCTACTTTTTCATTTCCATCCCCTTTCCCTATTTTATGTTGTTTTTAGTATGACAGGGTTAAACAGAAAAGTAATAAGGTGACATCAGAAATCATGCTTTCCTGTTTACTTAAAAACAAAAATCACTTCTTCCTGTAAGCGGCCTGAGGTGATCTCTCACAATGTTTTGCTACTCACTCAACTCAGAAAACACTACAAGGTCATGCAAATCAAGAGGTTCAGATCTTCATGTTCACTTTAAGAACACATGTGAAACTGCCTGGGCTATATTGGTGGGATAGCGTAAAAGCCACCAAGTATCTGAAGGATGTCACTTTGCAGAACCAATGTATGGCATTCCGTTACTACAGTGGTGGAGCTGGTAGGTAGGGGCTACCACTATAAACAGCAGGGCTGCATGCAGGGTCAGGGGCCCAAATAGAGTGCTGGGTTTTGACTGCACATGCTTAAAAATGCAGAGAATAATGCTGGACTTAAGGGTTTAGATGTAGATTCTCTGGTCATTGAGCTCATTCTGGTGAACAAAGCTTCTAAGATGCAGCATAGAACTTGTAGGGCTCATGGTTGGATTCACCTATACATGAGCTCTCCCTGCCTCCCTGAGATGATCCTTACTTAAAAGGGGCAGATTATTCCTAACAAGGAAAGGAAGTTGAGAGAAAAAAAAAAGAAGAAAATATCCCAGAAGAAACTGAAGAAACAAAAACTTAGGCCTTGGGAGTAAATTCTGCATAAAATAATGTAAATAAAAGTAAAAACAGAAAGGAAATCACAATATTAAAGAGGATTTTCAGGGAGGACCTGGGTGGCTCAGTCCTGCATCCGGCTCACTGCTCAATGAGTGGGATGGGATGAGCAGTGGGATGAGTGGGATTAGATTTAAAAGTGGGATGGAGCCCTGCATCCAGCTCACTGCTCTGTAGGGAGTCTGCTTCTCCCTCGGTCTCTGCTTCTCCCCCTCCTCTGTCTCTCATGAATAAATAAATGAAATTTAAGAAAAAATAAAGAGGGTTTCTTTGGTAATGCAGAGTAAAGAAATTATCGAATTATGAAGAATCATCACTACAAAAATAAAGCGTGGTTGGTTTTTTGTTTTGTTTTTGCACAGTTGTATGATTTCAAGATGTCCTAGTCTGACCCATGAAACCTTGCCTATCCTTCTGTACTTCCTCCATGACCTTCCTTACTCATCTCTTGTGTCCTTCATCAGTAAATGCTTATAGAGCTTCCAGTGTGTTAGGAGTAGAGATGGTTTTAGGATCTTTGGAAGAGCTGGGCCCTAGGAAATGGGGATAATAAGTCTTGGGGCTCCTTTTATCTCTGACTCACTGTGATGTCTTGGTAGCCTTAGATGAGAAAATTAGTGTTTTTCAAGGATGAGTCCTTTCCCTACTCCTTTCTGCACTCCCCTTCTGGATAGAGACAACCTGAACCCCTGTCCTTGAAACCCTTCCAATTTTCAACTTGATGAGAGTAATATTTCATAAGTAATATTTTTAAAAGACTTGTATCTATCTATCTATCTATCTATCTATCTATCTATCTATCTATTAGGTAGCACAAGCCCGTGAGTGGTGGTAGGGGGTGAGGAGGGTGAGCAGAGTGGGCAGAGGGAGAGGGAGAGAGAGAATCTTAAGTAGGCTCCATGCTGAGCACACGGAGCCTGACACGGAGCTCGACCCCATGACCTTGAGATCGTGACTCAACTAGAGCCAAAATCAAGAGCCAGGTGCTTAACCTACTGAGCCACCCAGGTTCCCCTCATGACTCCTTTTAATGAAATTATGTCATAGTTCAGGAGTTCCCAGGGCTCATGGGGCTGGAAAGGTAAATGAATGAAGGCAGAAGTCGAAGAATAGAAATGGTGGAGACAGGTTGACTTTGGGGAGCACAGCCCACGTAACCATTTTCTAAATCTTCCCACATTTATTTGAATGCACACCTACAAAAAATGCATCTGAAACTGGAGTTGGCCTGTGGTTGCCAGGTGAGATTCTAGTGGGGACAATGGGTTGGAAACTCAGGTGAACCTGAGAAAGGTGCTGACCAGCCTTTTCTGGGTATTGTTCTATTTGGAAGGGGTAGGCCCCAGTCTGAATTGTAGTTATTTTTCCCCCACCCGTTTCTAAAAGATTTGGCCTCATTAAATCCTCTCATCCTGGAAGATCAGCAGAATTTTAACTGCCAAAATTTCCTCGAGTCAGCATGGGATGCTGATGTGCTCCAAGTCACACCTTTGGTTTGTTTTGCAATTCAGAATTGGGTTTCCCTGCTGTGGCTGATGCAGTTGGCTTTAGTTATAGTGCAATATATTCAAATAAACATTTATGAGGGTAAGTAATCATATTTTATGCAAACAAATTATTCTTCCATAAAAGTCACTTTTAAAAAATGCATGCTATTTCTTTTCTCAGTCAGCGTATCAAGCTAATAAAAATTATTGTATCATCAAAATTCCCTTCATGAGTGTGTATTGTTCCATTTGTGTTACACTGAGAAGACTGGTCTCTACTTTGTTTCTCTCCTCCCCACCAATTTAAATTTTATACTCTTACCAATCCTATAAGAAATTGTGATTAGTTCATGTGTCATATAATTATGGCAAAACACTAGAGAAAGCTACTTCTAAGAGAGGAAAGTGTCCATTAAAAAATGTATATAGGGGATCCCTGGGTGGCTCAGCGGTTTAGTGCCTGCCTTCGGCCTAGGGCATGATCCTGGAGTCCCGGGATCGAGTCCCACATCGGGCTCCCTGCATGGAGCCTGCTTCTCCCTCTGCCTGTGTCTCTGCCTCTTGCTCTCTCTCTGTGTCTCTCATGAATATATAAATAAAATCTTTAAAAAAATGTATATAGGTTCCAAATCCAAGGAAACACATGAATTACTAGCTCATTAAAATTGGAGTTCAATATTGAAACAAAGAGCTTTGCAACACAAAGTCTCTTCTTGGTAGAATAATATAATACTTTTCTGGCCCATTTCAAGTAACTATTTTGCTCCCTTATCAAGGGATGCCTGGTTGCTGCTGAGGATTCTGGGCAGGATGTGATGGAGGAGAGCCATCCTTAGCCATCTCCTATCCTCAGTGAAGGAAGAACACTTGGACATGACATGAAACAAATACAGACTTGTGCCAGGCAATACAGTCTCTGTCCTATTTGGCCACTTACTAACTGTGTTGATCTTGGGTAGATAACTTGATCTTTCTGTGCTTTGGTTTTCCCACCTACAAGATAGGGTTAATGACACCTACTTCAAGGGTTATCATGAGTATGAAATAAGAGAATGCATCTAAAACACCCACCATATCACTTGGAGTAAAATATGTACTAAAAAAATAGTAGTTGATTACTTTTATTATGGTGATTTCCCAGCATTGTAACTCTAGCATAAAAGAGTTAAACTGATTTGCATGGACTACTTAGATATGCAGTTCGCTCTGGTTATTTAAATCCATTTTTATTCTATATTCAGTTTGAAGTATAGTTCATGTCGTGAATATTACTTTCGGTCTTTATACTAGACACACTTGGAAAATTATTGCCAGCCATGTATAATAATTATAATATTTTTGACTTTGTGTTTTAAAAAATAACCAGTCATACTTATAAATATCTAAGTGTAATATTTCCCGTTCTACTGAAGGGAAAATATTTTTCATTTATTGCAGCTCTACCTCTGAAAATAAACAACGCGGTATAAGCATACCAGCCAGGCTGTCTTGAGCTTAAAAATCAGTGAAAATAAATTTAACTTCAGGGAAAGATAATGAATGCACACTTCAAAAACCCCTGTTTGAGAAGATGTATGTCCTAG